AATGTTGATGCAGTTGCTGTACATGTTGCCATCTGTTCAGTCGGTTGACTTTAACTTCTGTTACATCATGTTCTGGTAAAGCATTCAGAGGCGCAGAGACCAGGAAATGTCCAGGGGTCAATGCTTGAAGATCGGCTGGATCAGTAGAGAGAGGCGTTAATGGTCTTGAATTCAAGATGGCTTCAATTTGGCACAAAACGGTTGTCATTTCCTCAAACGTTAAACTTACGTTGCCAACGATTCGGCGTAAATGGTACTTGACGCTCTTAACGCCCGCTTCCCACAATCCTCCAAAATGACTCCCCCTTTGAGGTGCAAAATGCCATTCTCGTCGTGATGTACAGATTCGGACACTCTTTCGTTGTGATCTTTGGAGCGTACTAGTCGATAAAGCTCTTTAAGTTCCTTGCTGCCCCCGACAAAGTTTGTGCCGTTGTTACTGTAGATTTTGCTTGGTTTCCCGCGGCGCGAAACAAATCTCTTCAGGGCTGCGAGGAAGGCCTCTGTCGAGAGACTGCTCACCAACTCTATGTGTACTGCCTTTACAGCAAAGCATACGAACAACCAGGCTTTCTCATTTCGTGTTCCACGCCCACGTCCAGTTTTCAGCAAAATAGGTCCAGCGTAATCTATGCCAGTGGTCAGGAAAGCTCTTTGAGACGTTATTCTTTCTTTTGGTCTTTTGGTAGTGCACTCATTAACTGCTGCAGGCATTCTGCTCTTTGTCGTCTGCACTTGACACAACTGTTCACGAATCGTCTCACCAGATCTCTCATTCCTATTATCAAAAATCTTTGACGTAGCGTAGATTGTAACAATTGTGGACCAGCATGCAGATTTTTCAAATGCTCGTGCTGTATGATCAGATTCGTTATAACATGCTTTTTTTGGCAGAAAAATGGGGTGTTTTTGGTCATAGGGCAATTTGCCAAGATTCAATCGTCCGCCAACACGCAACAGATCACCATCTAGGAATGGACACAGTGACACAAGTTTACTTCTTCTTGAGACACAGTGTTCTTTCTGTAAGCTTTCAATCTCCTCCGCAAATTCTGTCTTTTGYGCCTCTTTTATCAGCAGGTTGAGTGAATCTTTCATCTCTTCAGTAGTTAACGATAGACACTTTGTAGACCTTTGATGACGCATTGTTAGCCATCGACGACACCACGTCAATACGCGAACTATCTTTATGAGTGATGAGTAAGGAAACAAATCAAAKATAGATTCTCGAGAAGTTTGGAGAACGTTCACTGTTACATGAGTAGTTACTTGCTCTTCCTGAGATCCCTTTAGGTCGTAAACTATCTGTGACGGCCAAGAACTAGGAGATTTCTTCAGCCATTGCGGTCCAGAATACCAGATTGGGTGAGAAATTAATTCACTTGACGCGATGCCCCGTGTAGCGCAATCAGCAGGATTGTCAACAGATGGACAATGACGCCAATTTGCAGGACAGACAATGTCTTGAATTTCACTGACTCTGTTTCCCACAAAAACTTTCCATTTAGAAGGTGCACCACGAATCCAGCTAAGAGCAACAGTCGAGTCCGTCCAACCGTACAGGTCAAGCTTTAAGTTGAGTGCCTCTTGAATCCTCTTCATAAGTCGTGCAACGAGAAGTGCTCCACACAGCTCCAGTCTTGGTAGAGATATTATCTTGAGGGGAGCGACCTTTGTCTTTGCAGCAACAAGCTTAACTACAGCTTCCCCAGTTACAACGTCAGAACGTAAATACACCGCCGCGGCATAGGCTGCTTCAGACGCGTCAGAGAATCCATGAATTTCGTAGCAAACTACATGGCTTAAGTCCCTTGGCACAATCAAACGTGGCAGCTTAATTTCTTGCAACCTTGGCAGCTCCATTTTCCAGTCAGACCATGCCTCAAAAAGCTCCTCAGGTAAAGGTTCATCTCATTCAATTCCGCACAGCCATAACTTTTGAAACAAAATCTTTGTAAAAATGTAAAAGACAGGAGCCAGCAAACTCAGCAGGTCGAAAATACGCGAAGATTCAGATAGAAACTGGCGCTTTGTACAGCTCTGTGAAGACGTCATCTCGTCAGACTTCACCTTGAAAACAAAGGAGTCGCAGCTTGGAATTAGATGCATTCCTAAGGTCTTGATTACAGTGTTNATGGTAAAGGAATTCTCTTATTTCCCAGCATACCATATACTAGGTGTGAGAATTCACGATATGAAACACTGCTTAGAAATCTGAAAACAAAGAGACAGTACATTATTATTACTATCAAAGTTATGGTGAAGTACATGGACATAATCCAGTAGTTTGTGAATAAAGTATTGGTATTATGGTATAACATGTCTATAGGTTACTGCATAACAAGGGTATTTAGTCTGGGACAAGCCCTATACTATTTTTGACTGGGAAATATCATTGAGTTCTTTGGGACTAGGTGCAATGAAAAGCAACGATTATTGAAATCAAAACAAAATTCATAGGATGGGGGGATGGGTTCACATGTAAAATGGGAGAGAGCTTCTGTAATAGATCATACTATTGTAGTTCATACTAATGAGGTAAATACAATGTTGGCCAATTTTATGTAAACAGTGGTGAGCTTACCTATCTTCTGATCCAGTTTGACGATACCTTTGATTTTGTTTTGTTTTTAGACGATCGGCAGCCATACGGAGGCTCCATTTCTCGAGGCAGACAGGTCGAAAGCCGGGATGGTCAGTAATGCAAGTGGCTTGGCGAGAAGATCGAGAAATATCCTGTCTGACTAGGTCGCTTTGTAATGCCGTGACGCAACCATCGAGCTCTGTGCAGTAATAGCACTCGCTTATATTCTGCAGCTTTGTTCGGCTACAATGTCCACACTTGCACCTACAACAAACCAAAATTAGCTAAATTAATAGTAGAATTACAAGTTTATTATTCGAATATCTTTAAAGAGCATTAGTCTTTTGTCGCGGTAAGCTGTAAAGACAAAACATCAATTCGTCGCTTACCACGCGTTTACAGTCGTTTCTCCTGAAAGTCATCTTCGAAGTTCTGACTCCAACTCTTCTTCTTCTTCTTTTTGTTTTTGGTATTGCTGGATCCACTCTGAGTTAGCGATTGGTTCATCCTGGTATGCTCCTTCCTCTGTTATATCGTCTTCATTGACATTCGCGGGAGCTGACTCAGCGATTTCTGAACTTCGCGCCAATACGCCGTCCTCAAATTCCTCTATTTCTTCCTCAAAATCCGATACAAACTCCACTTCGGACTCGAGATCAGAATCGCTTTCTAATAAATCATGAATATACGAACTTTCTGACATTTTAACTGTCTTTTTCTAAGTTTTAAACTGAGGTACCAACTAGAAGGACTATACAAGACGCTACGAACACAATGGAACGCTTCCTTAGTATACGTCACACTCGTACCAGTCCCCTAATTTGATAAGAGAGCGCTTTTTTGTGGAAAGGCGGGAAATTCAAATTCGTTTTAAAAATCAGGCATTTATCCAATTCGAAAACTTTTTTCAGAATGTTGTATATTTTATTCCATATTTTTCACAAGAATTTGGAAAAAATAGGCGTCATGTGCACTTTAAGAAAATACAAAATGTCGGAAAAATTATTGGGGAGGCTGTAGGCCCCATCTCCCCCCCTCCTCCGCGGTCCATGGTTTGTAAGGAGTACTCCAAATTCAGTAACAACATTTTCAGTAACAATCTATATATAAGTTCAACATGTCTGTGGCGTAAATTCATACTGAAGAACTATTTTATAACAATTAGATCTAAAGAACGCATGACCTGCAGTTTGATAGTCCATGAGAAAAAAGGACTAATAGGCTATAATAAACTTGTAATCCAGCAAGCCGAGAAATCTAATTATATTAAGTATTATGACACTAATTTGGTGATAAAATTAATGAAATACACAAATACAGAAAACCCAGTGTATTTTAGAATAAGTGGATTAAGAAAATGCAGACTTGATGTTAGGAAATAAAGAACCAAATAAGCTTATATAAACACATTCATAGCATGCATAAAAAATGTAAGTTGTTCTTATTCTTGGTATGCAACCACGTGATCAGGGATTCTTTGAGAAAGAAAGAATAAAGGTAACGCCGCCATTTAGGATGAATGAACAAAAGAAACTAATCAGGAATACTTTGTGATTTTCATCCAACATGGCGGTAATAACTTAACTTGCACACCAACAATATTATTRTAAGTGTTTATATAAGAACYAAATCAGTGTGAACGGCGTAAATACGTGTTCTTATATGCGCGGGTTTGTAATCTAACTRAATRTTTTTGTTGCTAAAAATATGACAAAAAGTTCTTGCTTTAGGCTTTTCAAGCACAAATGTACCCTGAGTAGCATCGATAATAAGAACGAAGGATTTGGAATATTCCATTAGCTAGTACGATGAAAATAAAGTTGAGTACATGTATCGTAAC